GCAAGCTACTATATATAAGCAGGAAGCAAACCCCACGCTCACTAGCACTGATGATGTTGCCTAATTGGGTAATGAAATGTCTGCAAGTAAACAACCAATTCAGAGATTTGGTTACTACAGGTGAGATGCTATATGCTTCAAACTATAAATGAATATTGGACTCAGGGAAAAAACAGAATCTATGTGATCTGGATACAATGGATTCAGGATAAAATTCAACCAAACCTTCTGAGGAACACCTGAGATTTTCTGAACTATATCTATCTATCTCTATATAACTATATTGAACTCTTATAGCTTCTGAGACAAATGAGATGGATGCAGAGACACAAAGAGATCCTGGCAGAAAAAGATATAGTATTTGTCTCATAGCTCCACATATATAGATATTGGCAGGATGTGAAGAGAAAAAAGCAATGCAATTTTAGCTATTTACTTTTTTTTTTTGGCAACCAAGCAAGGTTCTATTTTTTTCTGAATTGTCTCTTCGACTGCCAACTTAGCAGGAGGGACAGTCTTGCTAAGATGGAAATATCTGCCTGAGTGAACAAAATCAGAGTAACCATTACAAATCAAAGGATGTGGATCAACTGGGAGTGGAGGAACCACAAGAGGGAAGCTCAGAAGCACTACATCATCTTGTGGTTCATCTAGAAAACAGTACTGATAAAGGGGGCACTTATATAAAGGAGACATTTATATTAGGAATTATTTCAAGCAAGCATGTTCAAAGAAGCAAAGGTAGTTCTCAACTTTGGACCACAATTGAGACCAAATTCTCTGTTGCTAAGTGAAACAATTGTTAAGTGATTTTTTTGCACATTTTACTACCTTTTTGTCACCATTATTAAGTGAATCACTTCAGTTGTTAAGTTAGTATCACAGTTGTTTAGTGAATAATCTATGGGCTGAGATCATAGATGTGTTGATTTTCCAAGTCCTTAATCCTTACTGGAGTAGAATAATTATTACAGAGATGAGATGACAAAAGGGGAAGGGAGGAAATAAGGAATTTCAGTGCATTCTGCTGTCCAGAAAAGCATGTGTGAAATGGCATAAGGAGACAGTTGGCATTAGTACGACTTATTTGTCAAAGGGTACAACTAACACAATAATTTGTGAGGCCTGTTCACAGCTTGCTGGCTATTACTTCAAGCCACAAATCACAATAACTGTTCAACTGAAATTGCAAAAGACAAATAAAAAATGCTCCTAAAGCCAATGAGCCATTAAATAGTTGACAGTAATCTGGTTGGGAGTTTAGAATTGGTAATTAGCCCCAAAATACAAATGCCATAGGCTCTCATGGGCTGGCTTCCGTGGTAATACAAATCAGTGCATTTCACTCATTGTAGAGTCTAGAGTTAGCATCTGCACCATGAATGTGGGCTACCATGTAGAATTCCCCAATTTTAAGAAGGAGGCTACTAAAAAGCCCACAGGGTATCTTGGAATAATCTACTGTGGTTCTTTCCTCATCAGTAAAGCAAGTGTAAATCATGTATCTCTCTTCCTGCTGGAGGTTTCACAAAGCTTCATTAATTAATTTTTGTAAATTATTTCAGTGTGGTTTTTTTAAAAAAAAACAGTGAATGCACCATAGTACTCTTGTTAATAACCTCCCAGAGGATATGATGTCACAGAATCAACCTTGTGAATGTTACATAAACCTTCAGATTATTTTTTGGGATAGGATGGGCTTTTCTCTTTGTGCCAAGTAGGGAATTCCCCTGCATTTTTCCCCTACTAACTTTTTCCATTTAATTTAATTTAACATAATTGTTTTAGATAAGGTACCATTTCCAAAAGGAAGAAATTTGGATACAATTCTCACGGGTAGAGCATGGTATTTTTTTAACCATTAGAAGGTAGTCTAGAATGGTGGGTATAAGGTCTGCCTTTCATTGTACAGTGATTTGTTCAGAAGCTGGAATTCCTCCTGAAAATTCTATGCTTTTAATAAACCCAGAGGGAAGGCATCGTGGTGTAATTTTCCCTATTGGTCTTCTTTTCCTTTTGGCAGTGTGGCTACTGGAACTGCAGACGGGGTGCTCTGCCCTTGAGAAATGATGGAAGCATTTCTCTTTTCCAAGAGGATTTCTGGGGAAATTTCCCTGCAACATTGAACGGCTAATTCTGAAAGACCATCTGCATCAGGTTATGCTACTGAGTGTGTGATAGCGAGTCTATCTGGAATGCTCAGAATCAGGACAGGGAGGTAGTATCTGTTGTTAAAAGTTCCCTCTGAATCAGGCATGTCCAATCTGTGGCCCACGGGCCACGCATGGCCCTGGACAGCTAGTAAATCAGCCCCACCAGATTGTAAGCTCTTAACATTATTGTGTGATTTTATATTATAAAACCTGGTTATATAGCAATAGCATTTAGATTTATTTACCACCACATAGTGCTTTCTGGGAAGCACAGAAACTCTCTGGGCAGTTTGTAATGTTAGCATATTGCCCCCAACAATTGGAGTCCTCATTTTAGTGATCACAGAAGGATGGAGGGCTGAGTCAACCCATCAGGATCGAACTCCATGCTGCTTTCTAACCACTGTATCACCAGGGTTCCTATAAAATATATATTTTATATGTGGTCCAAGACAATTCCTCTTCACTCAATGTGGCTTGGGTAAGCCAAAAAGTTGGACACCTCTTCTCTAAAGTCATTTATTAATGTTTTAACTATCTCCTTTGTTTTTACTCCATTCCATTCCATTCTATTTTGTTTACATTTCTTTTACTCTTATTCTGATGGAGACCTGTATTTTATATTATTTTTACTGAAGACTGGTATTTTTATCATTTCTGCCATGGGGGATAGAAAGACGGGATGGCACTCGCATTCTGCTTCTCAGACATCACTCAAGCTTACTAAACAGCTACCTATTTATTCCCAGAAGCTTTTGACAGAGCCAGGTTATACTTATAAAGTGCTGACATATTTAGGACACCCTTGGATTCACACAGGCAGGATGGAAATCAGAATGAAGGACAAAATGTTCCCGTCTCTCTGGCTTGCTCCCTTTTGGTTAACATTATTGTATTATTCATAATATTATTAAACTTATAAATGTCATAAACATTAACAATAGCATAATCATCACTAATGTTTTTTATAATAATTAATATGAAAGACATTGTTATTAACAGTCTGAAAGAACTTGGAACTGGATGGCCTGATTAGAAACTAGAATAGAGGTAGAAATAAGAATACACACCTTTATATGAAGCAATAGTTAGATGGAAAGATTGGAGGTTGAAAGATGGTATTATTAGGTAAGTTTAAATAATAAGATGTCTGGTACTTGAATGGTGCATTGTGACTTTAAACAACCAAATAATGAAGGAATATGTCTTGATATAAACATGTGTATTAATACTAGGACTAGCAATGGCAACCTCACTAGAAGCTAGAATAGAGGTAGAAATAAGAAATAGGGGGAATATTAGCAGATATAATTTAACAGTCTGAAAGAACTTGGGATCTTCAGCCGGAAAAAAAAAAGCCTTAGAAGAGACACAACAGCTTCATTCAGGTACACGAAGGGGAACTACAAAGAAGATGGTCATGAACTATTTTTTATAGCTATAGAAATAATGAGTGTAACTTGTATCTTCCTAAATCTAATTTAGATGAAAACCTTTCCTGGTGATAAAATATGTGCAAGAGTGGAATAGTCTACCTAAAGAAACTGTTGAGTTTTCCATCCCTGGAGGCTTCCAAGAAGCAGACAACCAAGTCTCCTGGATGGTTCACTTGGTTCTCCTAAATATTGCAGAGAGTTGGACTAGATAATCTTCATAACCCTTTCCAGTTCTATAGTTCTTTGATTAATATACATATTGCAACTGCAATTAAAATAGAATTGAGTGCTTCTTGAATTGGACTAGATTTCTGCTATTATTTAGGAACAAGGTAAAAGCCTGGGTGCCACTTAATATTCTGGCTGTCTACAAATCTCATCAAGGGTGTCTCTCCTTGAGGAGCTGCTGACATTGGAATTTTTGATGGTGGGAAAACTACCTGATGGAGAAGTATTCCAACATCTGTTCCTATTCATTCTGAGTTTGAAGTGTTATCCCAGAGAGGAAAAGGGAGATATGGCCCATGACTCCCCAAGGATAGTTTCCCCCCAAACCATGGAAATTTATGAAGTCTTAAATGAAGAATATGAATATGAATTATTTATGCTTGACTATGAATTTTGGTAAGTGTGCAGTGCTCAAAAGTTGAAGAACTGAAACCACTTGATTTTCAACTAGTAGCAAATGCAAAAATTTCCCAAAGTTTAGAATTTACTCTCCATGCTTACTGTTTGTTTGACATAAATGAGGCAATCCAGAATTTTTTTGTGATCTAGGAAACATGAAGTGAAGAACGTCTCCAAATGATACTTTATTAATTTGTATAATTTGCAAGCTCCACATGGACTGATGCTCTCTTTTTAAAGATCCTCTTAAAAACTGAATTGGATGAATTCAGATAGGAATAATCTATCAATGGCTCATGGTCATAATGACTATGCTGGGAATTTAATCTTTTTCAAATTCTGAATGGATTTACTCTTCCTAGACTAATGCGCGATGGGAACTTGTTTCTCCATTGGCTTACACATTTTCCAAATACAAGATAAGTGCCTTTAAAATTATTTTAGTACAGACTTATGTGACAAGGTAAATTTTTACCTATTTAATCAATCCAGAAATGGGAACCATTCATACATGTGGGTTAACATATGTGAAAGTCAAACAGACTGGAAATTAATATTAGTACTGAAGCTTTCAATCTCCTTCAATACTTTTTTTCCCTATAACTGAAACCTCTTCCTCCTCCCCCTTCCTTTCCAATTTATTTTGGGGGGTATTATTCCCTTAAACAAATTTGGATCATAGCAGTGTGTTCAAATGTTTTTACTATCAGTTTGGTGGGCGTGGCTTGGTGGACGTGGCTTGGTGGATGTGGCAGGGAAAGGATACTGCAAAATCCCCATTCCCTCCCCACCCCACTAATCTGCTTTCCAGGTCCATTCTCTTGTTCAGGGCAACAAAAGAAGACCCAGCTGATCATCTGGGACTCAGGAGACAGATAATAAATGGGGCGGGGCCAGTCAGAGGTGGGATTTGCCGGTTCTCCGAATTACTCAAAATTTCCACTACTGGTTCTCCAGAACTGGTCAGAACCTGTTGAATACCACCTCTGGATCATAGCTTCTCATAGTCCTTTTCTCTTTCTCTACTAATCACAGGTAGTCCTCGACTTACAACAGTTCATTTAATGGCCATTCAAAGTTACAATGGCACTAAAAAAAGTGACATATGATTTTTCACACTTACGACTGTTGCAGCATCCTCATGGTCTCGTGATTTACCTTTGGACATTTGACAACTGACTCCCATTTATGACAGTTGCAGTGTCCCAGTGCCATGTGATCAGATCCCCTGTTGTGACCTTCTGACAAGCAAAGTCAATGGGGAAGCTAAATTCACTTAGCAATCTGTTACTAATTTAACAACTGCAGTGATTTGCTTAACAACCGAGGCAAAAAAGAAGTCACAAAATGGAACAAAACTCACTTAACAGATTTCTCACTTAGCAACATAAATTCTGAGGTTAATTTGTGATCATAAATTGAGGATTACCTATAGTTCATAATCCATGACTGCATAGCTCTGCTCGGATTCAATCACACAAAATGTCAATTTTTTTCATGCTCTACCATGAATTTCCCCAAAACATCTGATTGTTTTCTGGATTTCTTCTTCCATGTGCTATGGATACACATACCAGAAAAATTCATCTCCTTGATTTGCAGCTTGCTGTGCAGAGGTGGTATTCAGCAGGTTCCAACCAGTTCTGGAGAACCAGTAGCAGAAATTTGGAGTAATTTGGGGAACCAATGGTAACCTTCCTCCAGGAGTGGGGAGGGAATTGAGATTTTACAGTATCCTTCCTCTGCCATGCCCACCAAGCCATGCCCGCAGAACTGGTAGTAAAAATTTTTTTTGAATCTCACCACTGTTGTCATGGAAATACTAATAATCTGTGCTGCTTTGTATGAGAAGTTAATTTATCACCTACTAAACTGAGAATCCGGAATTTAGAGTTACAATTTTTATTCAAAGTGTGATATCGAGTCTTCTTAGTCTATTCCTTGAAATGTCCCTCACTCCATCCCCTGCCCACCTCACCACAAAAAACAAACAAGCAAAACAAAACTCAGAGAATACATTTCTTGATTTAAAAATCTGCCTCAAGATAAGACATGGTGATTTCATGGACTACTAGTTTTCTTGGAAGAAATCTACAAGGAATTTCCCCCCTGTGTTCAGGATATTTCTCAATTTCTTAGCTTAGGCTACAGGCCAGAGGTGGTGTTCAGCAGGTTCTGACCAGTTCTGGAGAACCGGTAGTGGAAATTTTGAGTAGTTCAGAGAACCAGCAAATACCACCTCCGACTGGAGATCTTACGGTATCTGTCCCCTGCCATGCCCACCAAGCCACGCCCACAGACCCGGTAGTAAAAAAAATTGAATCCCACCCCTGCTACAGGCGTAGGACTCCCTGCCCATCTTCTATCTAAGTAATAATAGGTCTTATTTTGTTTGAGTTTTCAGTATCATCCATGGTGGCCTATATGCTGCCATCTGGAATAAGCCTGTTTTCATTAGGACTTTTTAAATGACTGTGGCTAATCTGAAATTCCCAAGTGAAATTCTGAATGATTAGATATGATTAGGAACATGGAACCAATGAAAGGAGGACTAACTCTTTATTTCCATACTGACACTTTAGTTTAAACTGACTTTTAAGAAGACACATATTTGTGCATGGCAGGGTGCAGTCCCTGGAGATTTTGAAAAAAATTGCCTTCAAATTATACAGTTTAATGTGACAGAAGCAGCGGATGATTAAGAACATGATGTATCATCATATTAACAGTATTTGATTTAATTACATTAAATTGAAATTAGATTTAGTTTTTGTCTTGCCTTGGTTCAATCTCTTGGGATAGGGTTCCCCCAGGATGCAGTTTAAAGGTCAAATTATACAATTGGTTCATCTCTAGCTGGACAAGTCTTCACTTAGCATTAGTTGGAGATGCTCAGTGAATCATTTTAACATGTAGCGTACAAGTGTTCACAAATGTCTATGGAGATTCTCAGCCATCCAGGTCATGCTTGTCCCAAAGTTGCTTTTTCAAGAGGCAACTGAACTTTCTATTTTTTTCTTTGAAGACGTTTCACTTCTCAATGAAGAAACTTCTTTAGATATGACTACTTCAAGACCACATCCTTGGCTTTAGTAGTTTGACTCTGAGTATATCAGCTCAATTGCACAATCCATCAGACAACGAGGGGGTAGGGACTCACACTCTGCCTGACTTCTTCAAGAAATGTCTTCAAAGAAAAAAAACAGAAAGTCCAGTTGCCTCTTGAAAAAGCACCATTGGGACATTTGAACACATGTTTGTGGGGAACAGAAGAGTGACAATGAGTGAAGGACATAATGATGCTAAGATTTTGGGATGGGCCAGAGGTTTAACGTGATCATTGGGACAGGAAAGGAGGAAGGACCATTCAGGTTTATGGTCTTAGGGTGCTCTGCATCTAGCTGGTCCACATGTGATGGATAGTAATTGCTTTGATGGAAAGGGAAGCTTTCCTGAAAAAGCAAGGGCAGAGTTAGTGTAGGAGATGACCAGGCTGACCCCAAGGAAAGGTCCAATGGACCATCAGTCATGAGTCCCTTCATGAAATCTAAGTCCATCCCACCCTGAATTCCTTTGACTCTTGTCTATCACTAAATTGCTTTAATCATTAGTACTTCAGATTCTTGTAGAGAATTTAAGCTTGCAATAAATCTTTATACCTTTGTACTATTTGCCTGGACCATCTGATTTCCCTGGCATTTGACAGTTAGATGGGCAAAGTCTACAATATGATTAGAGCTTGTTTCTCCTAAACTGGGCACTGGGCTCATTCCTGTTGGCAACTGTTGGGCATAAGTGCCTTTTTCTAAACTTAAATATATGGTTCAACTTCAAAAAAAGATTGGAAGGTACAATTAAGGATTATATACTTTGGGTTTAGTAATACCCAGGCTAATGATTTCAGCTTTCTGCTTTGAAATGCTTCTCATAGCAAAACTTCCCTTATTTTCAAAGGTTTTTCCTCTAAAGACTTTTGATTTCAGAAAGACTAATACTAGGGTTATGCAAATATTTTCTTATTTAGGTTCTATCTTGCTTTTCATGCAGGAGTTCAAGGCAACATACACAGCACAGATCCAATATATTGAATACATATCCTGTAGTTAAAGATTTGATTAAAAGATTTATGTCCAAGGGATTTGCTTGAATGTAGGAACTTACAGCCTGCCTTCCCAGGCTGAACCAGGAAATCAATTCAAACTCCTGAAGTGAAAGAGAGAGCCTCCAAATCTATACAGGTTATTTGGGATCATCTACACATGGCTAGAAATGGTTGTTCCTAAATCAGCTCATAGATCTCCCCATTTTATTAATATTATTGATTGATTGATTAGCCTATGGGCCTTATCAATGTATAAGGTTCAAACACGTATTACCAATAAAATCCTATACAAACAATTTAAAATAAGAGTAGGTTAAATGCAATAGTTATAGGATAAAATGTAATTTAATACATAAATATGTTAAATAGAATAAAATGACATGACATTATATTTCTGTATCACCCCTGCAATAACTCAGAGATCTGAATCAAACTGGCATGATTCATCAAATCAGTCTGATCCTTCAGATCAAGACTGATTGATTTTCAACTTCATTAAAATTATCGAACAAATTGGATCAAATTTTCCAAATCATTGTGATTTGAATTGCCTAAGGTTTGATTTACACTCATCCAAATTTACACTGTTGATCTTCAAAAGTCTTATCCCAATCTGCTTTTGATATCAATACAATGTCATTTCGGCCTCCTTAGGAATAGTTATGAAGCATATACCTCCCTACCAGGGAATACAGGCAGCTAAGAAAGGACACATAACACCTCTTTGTTTCTTTGGGGAGCTATTGTGTTTCAGTGATAGACAGAAGTCTGTAGAAGGTTGTAGTTACCCAAGAGTAGAGTTGAACAGTGAAAATTGATTCAGAATTAGATTAGATCATGTTATATTTATATTTTCCAACATGATCTAATCTAATTTGGAATCAATTTTCAAAATTTCAATTTCTAAAATTTTCCCAGCACTTCTGTACTTCTCTCCTTTCCATTGCTTGTTTATGTTTGTTTGTTTATGTGCATGTGGGTGAGTGTGCATTGTGTGATAGAAAGAGAGGGGAGGGAAGAGAGAAGAAGGGAGAGAGAAGGAAAGAAGGGAGGAGAGGAGACAAGGAAAAAGAAAAGGAAAGGAAAGGGGGAAGGGAAGGGAAGGAAGAAGGAAGGAGTGAAACTCAGAAGAAACATGAATTCTTATAACAATTTCACTCTATTAGAAATCAGTCCATTTCAGAATCCTATGCCTGATAACAAAACTTCAGCAGGAAGACACATAACATCTTAAGCACATCCTCAAACAAAACAACCCATTCCCTCCCCATGCCCAGCTCAAGTCTCAGTGCCAATGCAGCAATGCCATGCTTCTCTAACCCTCAGTAATGGTCTGCTTCCTTCCACTGTGGCAGAAACATTTCCCTCCTCACTCCTGCCAACCCAAACATTGGATAATTTAACTGCCAGACACCATAAGCAGGAGAAAGGATTCCAGACAAATCAAGGCCGAAAAGAGGTGGGAGGAAATCAGTCAGAGGAAGAAAAACAACAGCCAAGACATCTTAGTGCCTCTGTGATATTTGCCAGGCCACAGAAATAGTCTTATTACTTGGATGTCTAGTCATGTTATCTGTCTAACAGTGAATGTCCTGGAGGTCAACAGAATGGATAAAAAAAGGAAATGGGGGAGAATTCAACATAAGCAGTCACTGAGCACCAACTGTTACAAAACTGATAGTCAGTGATAAAAGCCTGTGGAAGAGAAATAGAAACCATGGAGGAACGTTGAATTAAATGAACGATGAAGTAAACTGTAGATCCTTCCTGGCATGAAGGCACAAATAAACCGTGATTGAAGGAAAGGATTAGAAAGGGGTGGGGAATCAGCTTTAGCTTAACTGGAGCTAAGATACTGCACACAAGAGTAACCTCATGATTATTTGCATTTGTAATTGTCAAGGGATGGCAGGACATCTGAAGAAAGCAAAGTAGATATGGGGCATAATGTCAGATTTGTGTATCTGTCATTTCTTCAGTGGAGGAAGGAAAGGGGGAGAGGCTGATAAAGAAATCCTTTCTTGATGTAACCTGAATATATTTAACCTTATATCGAATTTGTATAATCTACACATGATACAATGGAGGGAGAAAAGCCAGATGGCTGGGTAGACTGGCCAGAGGACATCCTAATCTGTTGCTTCAAAGATGGACTAAATGATGACCTATACACTGCCTACCTGGTCCATGGGCCCCAAACCTTTTGCATGAATGGTACATTACGGCAGAGGAGGAGGAGATAGAAATAACTCAAAACTGGTACCACACCGGCAAGTCCCCACCCCAGGGGAAACGGGAAGTCTTCAAACCCCAATCCACCATGACTCCAAGAATGTCTGGTTGCTTTAAGTGTAGAAAGGAGGGACACCACGCAGCAGAATGCTGTTTGAAGACCCCTGCCAGAAAGCTAGATCACCCATCGGGGGGAAACCCGGAACATCCAGCCCTCGAGGAAAGAAGACTGGCCTAAGAGGCTGAGTAGATGTGGGATTCCGATCGCCCCCCAAACCCTGAGGAAGATACCCAAATGCTCCAAGGGGACTTGAGCCAGTCCAAAAGTGATCCAGAAGATGACCCACTGGTAAGCAATCCAATTGAACCAATCACCCTGCCCCTGAGACTGTTTATCCCCAGCCAGGGAAGGGGGAGAAAGTTGCAGCATTGCTGGATTCAGGATGTACCCGATGCCTAATAAATCCCTCCCTTGTAGATAAATTGGGAATCCAACTGAAAGAAATGGAAAATCCCATTGCTTTCTGCCAATTAGATGGAACTACAGCAGGAGGGGAGCCAGCCAGTTTACCACAGAACCATTGAAAATAAGACTGGGGAACCATAGGGAGATGCTAACATTCATTGTAGCCCCAGGAATGGAAGAGCCACTAGTCCTAGGTCTCACATGGCTGTGGAAATGGAATCCAAAAATAAATTGGAGGAAAGGAACCGTACAATTCCAGAGAGATGTAATATTTGCAAAAAGCTCAGAGGAAAGGATAAAGAAAGAGACAGAGAACAGAGAATCAGCCATGACCAGACAGTCAGCTGAACCCATTAACATCCCCAATGAGTACCAGGATCTGGCCCAAGCATTTAGTGAGGAAGCTTGTGATGAACTTCCACCCCATTGAGCCACCGACTGAGCTATCAAAATCCTACCAGGGGCTAAACTCCCCAAACCACAAATGTACTGCATGTCTCCCAGAGAACTGAAAGAACTCAGAGCATTTATCGATAAAAACTTTAAAAGGGGCTTCATTGAACCCGCCTGACCAAAAATAGCTGCCCCAGGGTTATTCCGTGAAAAGAAAGATGGCTCTGCACACTTGTGTGTTAATTACAAAAAATTAAACATGATTTGCATAGACAATATGTATCCACTCCCCCTCATGAAGGACATGTTAGCCTACCTCTCGAAAGGAAAAAAAAAATTCAAAGTTAGACCTACAAGAGGCATATTACCACATCAGAATAAAGGAAGGGGATGAGTGGAAGACAGCTTTTAACACCCCATTGGGATGCTACCAATTTAAAGTGCTCCCCTTTGGACTGCAAGGAGTGCCTGCCGTGTTTATGCAATTGATCAATGAAACCCTTCATGAATTTTTATATAAAGGGGTTCTAGTGTATCTTGATGATATTTTAATCTACACGGAAACAATGGAAGAACACATCAAGCTACTCTGTGCAGTCCTCACAAAACTCTTAGACACTAAACTATATGCAAAACTCTCTAAATGCGAATTCCACCGAGAAAAAATTCACTACTTGGGGTATAGAATATCCCATGAGGGAATAGAGATGGACCCACAGAAAGTAAAAGCTGTACTGGACTGGGACCCACCGCACACCCACAAACAACTGCAAAGTTTCCTGGGATTTGCAAACTTTTATTGCCAGTTCATTCCAGCTTTTGCAAACATCGCCCTCCCTATCACGAACTTGCTAAAAATGAAGTGTGGGGGGGAGAAACCCAAACCAAGACAACCCCTTATCTGGACAATGGAAAGCCAAGCGGCATTCGAGAAACTCAAACGTCTATTCTCAGCAGAACCGGTCCTTAAGCACCCAGATCCTGAGCAACCTTTTGTCATCCAAGCAGACGCTAGTGATGTTGCAGTTGGAGTAGTCCTCCTCCAAAAGAATGGAAGTGGACAATTACAACCATGTGCTTATACATCCAAGAAACTGATGGAAACCGAGCAAAGATGAGCCACATGGGAGAAAGAGGCATATATTGTGTGGTGGGCAATGCTCACATGGAGACATTTCCTGGAAGGAAACCAAATCTCCTTTGAAGTATGGACTGATCACAAAAATCTGGAAGCCCTGAAAAATCCATGGAAACTCTCCAAAAAATAAGCAAGGTGGGCTCAATACTTTAAATGTTTTAATTTCACTCTCAAATATTTTCCTGGGAGAAAGAACTTCTTAGCAGATGCACTGTCCAGAAAACCCCAATACAACAGCAAAAAGATTGAGGTTATAAAACCGATGATCCAACCGACCCAACTAGCAGCCAAAGTAATCACCAGGGCACAAGAGAAAAAACAACCATCCCTCACTGAAGACACAACGACGTCAATATTTAAGGAGGCACTACTTAAAGACGACTGGCTCCAGACTAACAAAAACACTTGTTTACTCAAAGATGGACTGGGTAGAAAACAAACTTTATGTCCCTGCAAGCCAGAGAATGGACCTCATGAAATGCTGCCATGACTCCAAAATAGCAGGACACTTTGGGTTTGTAAAAACCCTTCACCTCATCAAAAGACAATTTTGGTGGCCATCCCTCAAAAAGGACATTGAAAAATATGTTGCAAGCTGCCCCATCTGTGCTGCTACAAAGAGAAGACAAGGAAACTATCCTGGGTTTTTACAAACAGTAGCAGACCCTCCTGCTCCCTGGAAAGAGATCTCTATGGACTTTATAGTGGAGCTTCCCAAAAGTGCTGTGAATAATGTCATTTGGGTTGTAACTGATCTTTTTTCCAAACAGGTTCACTTTATTCTATGCCAAAAGACCCCAATTGCCAAGGCATTGGCAAAGATGTTCCTAATATACATTTATCGCCTTCATGGAGCCCCCCAATGGATTATCTCAGATAGGGGTGTTCAGTTCACATCCAAATTTTGCTGGGCATTTTTAAACCTATTACGCTCCACCCAGGGGTTGTCAACAGGAAATCACCCCCAGACTGACGGATTAATAGAGAGAGTGAACAGCGTATTAGAACAATATTTAAGATGTTTTATTAATTACCAACAGGACAATTGGACTGTCCTTTTTTGATGTAACCTCAATATATTTAACTTTATATCAAATTTGTATAACCCACACACATGATACAATGGAGGGAGAAAAGCCAGGTGGCCAGAATCTATCACCTCTGAGAGGCACAGCCAGGAGATGAGAAGATCATAAAAATTCCACAGTGAGATGTATCCAGGGAATCTCTGGAACAAGTTTGTTCTAAAAAGGAGGTGGGGGAAAATTAGGTATCCTGGGAAACTGTGAGAAAGATCATTCCTACAGAAGGGGTGGGAGGGGAATTAACATGCTGGCTTTTGTTTCTCTAAATACACATCGAGATAAGGGGAGGGGTTCTAAACTCCCTTATGTATCCCTGTATGCCTGAGGGACCTCAGACGCTGCTTTGAACTCCTACATGAATTGTCTCACCTCAATAAAGGATTCCTTTTGATACGTTTGGTTCTCAGAAGTTCATTCTTGGTAAATGTATGGGAAAAAAGTTCTGTAGCCTGACACATAAGTTCAGGAAGGGTTGGTTCAGCTTGAGTTTAGATTCATTTGGGATTCATTTCAAACTCTGTCCATGGAGATTCTCAGTCATCGAGGTCATGGTTGTCCCAAAGGTGATTTTTCAAAAGGCAACTGGACTTTGTTTTTCATTGAACATGCTTTGTTTCTCATCCAAGAAGCTTGTTTAGTTCTGACTCTTCAGTTCTTCAGTCAGAAGAAACTTTTTGGATGAAAAGTGAAATGTCTTCATGGAAAAACAAAGTCCAGCTGCCTTTTAAAAAGCACCTTTGGGATTTCAATCTCTGCTTGAAATTGTAATGTTTTGGGTAAGTTTATCCAGCACTTTTCTTGGATGAATTCAGGTTTGCTCACAGAGGAAAGAAATTCCTCTGTTCAGAGCTGATTAACTGAGCCAAGTCAATCAAATGTATGGATTTGATATATAAATTCCTAAATGCTGTAAAACAAATGGAAGTAGCGATAACTAGAGCTTTCAGCTGTATAATGGTAACTAGCGTTGTATTTCTGGCACAATCACTGGAGACATTCATCTTAGTTTTTCACAGCCCTGGAGTGAATTTTTAATGTGCAAACTTAACCTGCATTTCTGCAAATAAAGCTCATTTTGAGGGATATACAGTAAAACAGATTAGGAGATTGCTTAACAGAATATTAGAGTTAGAAGGGAACTTGAAGGTCTTCTAGTCCAGCCCCCATACTCAGGCAGGAAACCTTAGCAATATTTTTCATCCTTGGCAACTCAAAGATGGATGGACCTCAACTTCCAGAATTCCCCAGCCAGCTTTGTTGTGGGAGCTCTCTCAGTTAAGGAAATGTGGAGTCATAAGTGTGTGTGCTCATATTTTGAGTATTTTCTTCAGAACTCAACTATTTGGGAAAGTTTCATATCTAAAAGTATTCTGTAATGGTTACATATTGCTGAGTAGCAAAATTAAAATCATTCAGGTAATAATAAACTAGATAATCAACAACCGAACTGTGAAAATAAGCTGTTTCCATATCACTAAACATCAAGTATTCACACGGCTGTAATATGTACGTATCATCTTCTCAACCTTTCTGCTTCAACTGAAATTAATACACATAAAATTGGCAACTCACTTTGCTTGCTATTCAAGTGATATTGCAGAAGAGATTACTAACAATCTAGTTTAATCATTCTGAATAGGTGCTTATTCTGTCTTTATGAGATAGAAATGAAGTCTTATGAACTTCAGTCAGTTTCTGGATCACTTTTTTTAAACAATTCCTTTGAGTCAAGCAAAAAGGTGAAGACAAAGTTTCCTTCAGGCACTCTTGATTTTGGGAGAGTTTATGAACTTATTCATATTGCTGTCTTGGAAACAATACAGAAATGTTTTCTTCAGAGGTGGGATCCTACCTGCATAACAACCGGTTCGATGAGCGTGCACTTGCATGTGTGTGCAGGCACACTGTTTACAAATCACCAGCTCTTGCAAGCATTCACCTTTTCCTGCTGGTGTGCGGAACTCAGCTGTGCCATGCAAAGCAGCTTCGGAGGAAAAAGCAGAGACTAAAGGACAGCCTAGAGCCCAGGCAGTCGGGTGGGCCAAGCAGAAGACCAGAAGATCATTGCAGCAAACCAGTTTGATGTCAGCTGCTCTTCGGAGCTACCAGTTCTATAGAACCAGGGCAAACTGGTAGAATCCCACCCTGGTTTTCTTCCAGGAGGTCTTTTTGACTTCCCAATCTAGCCTAGTGCACTGGATTTTCTTGGTGATCGTTCTTGGTGACATTGGCCAAGTGGTCAGTTTAAGTTGTTCTCACAATTAAGGTCTTTAGACAGGGGTGGGCTTCAAAATTTTTAGCAAAGGGTTCTCTGGCTGGGCACAGCCACTGTGGGTGTGGCCTAGTAAGCTACCTGCACACAATGGGAGGGGCATATTTTGCCCTCCCCAGGTTCTGGAGGCTTTCCTGGAGCCTCCAGGAGGGCAAAAACACCTTCCCTGGGCTCTGGAGGCTCTCTGGAAGCCAGAAACAGGCCCATTTCTGGTCTTCCTGAACTTCTGGGAGGCCCGTTTTTCACCCTCCCTGAACCTTCATGTGTGCCCTACACTAGCATACAAAACAGGCCACGTGGGAACTCCTGGGAGGGGCGGGGCAAGGTGGGCAGGGCCAGGCATGGGTGGGATTTGGGGGTTCTCCAAACTGCACAGAATCTTAGCTAGGGGCTCTCCTGAACCCCTGTGAATCCCCAGCAGCCCATGCCTGTCTTTATGTATTCATAGTAGCTACATATATTTTGAAGATGCAAATGCCTTTCTCTTTCCAATATGTTATTTGTCCCAATCAAAGCTTCAAGCAAAAAATATTATAATTAAATAGCAGTGATCTATCAAACACTGATTGTCATAATCTCCAGTGTTATCCATTTTTAATGAAAAGTTTGTGCCACCTCAAAACAAAAAGGTTACTAAATGGAGAACTCAGCATTTTAACTCCTTAAAATATT